TATAATGACCATAACATGAATACTTTTATGGTCTTAGTGCGTCCCTACTTTGCATTTCTCTGTAGCTCAATCATAATTCATACCAGTTTCCGGACACGCTCCAGCACTATATCAATAATTTCCTTGCCAACGGTGTAATGGCCACGGGCGTAATTGTTGGCTGCATCTTCTTTCCCAGAGATGAGCTGCTCCGGGTGAAACAGCTGTCTGTAGGTTCCAGTCCTCACCTCATCTGAAACATAAGATACATTTTACATTTATTTTTGATATCCAGCTCTTTAAAACATAAAACCAGCCATTTACACTTTTTGAAACTACTGCACTCTGGATGTTGGACATAATGCACACATTAATTTCAACATTTCAGGTGTCATAAAACACTGATTTGCTACAAGCTTAGTTTTACGATGATTGATAGTTCAATTGTAATCACTTATTAAACCAACAATAAAAAAAAAACCCTCACCAATGACTGAAGGCTCCAGATCCACAAACACAGATCGTGGCACATGCTTCCCAGAGCCAGTCTCACTGAAGAAAGTGCTGAAGGAGTCGTCTCTTTTACCAACGCTCTTACCACTCGGCATATTGCCATCAGGCTGGATGCCATGCTCCAGGCAATACAACTCCCAGCATGCATTGCCAATCTGTACTCCGGCCTGGCCCACATGGATGGAGATACACTCACGCTGCACAAAGAAAAAGAGGCTTTAAATGGCTGCACACAAACTGCAAGCTCCAGGCACATAAACTCAGTCATCTCAGTACATCACGGCTAGACTTTCTCAATGTTGAAGGTTTTTTAAGTATTTATTTTTCTTTAAAGCCTGATGTAAAATGTTTGTGTCCCAAACGTTACACTTTTGCCAGGCAGCTAATAAATTTAAAAGGGGTCATATCATGTGATTTCAATTTTTCCTTTCTCTTTGGAGTGTTACAAGCTCTTGGTGCATAAAGAAGATCTGTAAAGTCTCAAATCCAAAGAGATATTTTTGATAAAAGTTAAGAGTCAACCACGCCTACCTAAAACAGCTCGTTCTAACACGCCCCCACATGTCTACGTCACGATGTGGGAAGATTTGCATAACGCCGCCCAAATGTTCACGCAAAGAAAGAAGGCATAACTTTTATCCTCGCTGTAGCATTGTTGTAGCCGCCGCCGCCACTGCTATGTCGTGAAGGCGCTGTGTGTTTCGTTGTGAAAGCGAAACTACTTTGTTTGGCCTTCCAAAAGAGGACACGACTAGAAATCAGTGGTTAAGTTGCATTTACAACACTGTTCCAGAACAGTTTAACCCAAATATTCAGATGGATCAGGATTTCAAATAATCCTGATCCTGGGAGAGTAGACTACAATGCCGACTGTTTTGACTCACAGACTGGAAGTACGTTTTTTTTATATTTAAAGAATTTGACACTGACGATTCAAACGCGAGTTTTGAGCAGTGTAGAGTAGCACTTGTTGTTTGTCATTTCTCCGATCACAAATGCAGACATAGTTTTATATTTAGTTAAAAAGACAGTATAAGTCATTATAATGCGTAATTATGTCCTCACTGGATGCAACAAATGCCTCGTTTATAATTGGTTTTAATGTTTTTGTCTCGTCTCTCCGGCCAGACAGAGCATCACAGTATGGTAAAGGGTGTAACATTTCCGACACACGCTTGAGGTATTCGGCCAATCACAACGCACTGGATAGCTGGCCAATCAGAGCACACCTCGCTTTTCAGACCGATGAGCTTTGTATGTAAACAGTAATGTACAGTATGTGGAAAATAATGTTTGTGGCAAAACATTTTGCAGTGTTTACATGTTATTACTGCATAAAATTTATTAAAATAGACGTTTAATTTCATAAAGTACAAGTTGATTTCAAAATGCACCTACTTTTTTTGCATTTTGTGTTTTTCAGTTGAATAAAAGACTTTTTCCCTATATATTTCATCACTGAGGATTTCTTTAAAAAAAAAAAAAAAAAGTCTAAAAATCTCGTCTCGTTCACCCAGTCTCGTCTCGTCTCATGGGACAAGTGTCTCGTCACACCACTAGGTAAGTTTTCGCCGATAGAGGTCGCATTTTCAAAACAATAACAGAGGCGAAGCTCGATGACGCAATGACAGAGCATGGAATGATGGGAGATTTCACTAATAATTTTCTCGGATAAGGTAATGTATTACTTTTTTTTTATTAACTTACCTGTACATTTGATAACAGTATTTTATGTCATCATAATTGATTACCTGCAAAGAACATGAAATTTGATTCTATATTAGCCTTTTACTGATATGTGACTATTTGTCATGATTTGGCGGGTTAATGTGCATTTTTACGTGTGTAAAACAGTCGTTCTAAAAGTAAATCTGAACAAATGCACCGTATTTGCAAGTACGCACACACGAGAGCGGAGTCTCTGTCCAGTCCGAAGTTTTCGCGAAGCTCTCTCCATTTTGGAAACGCCACGCCGATATTTATTCTAGTTTTATTTCTGTGTTTGTCCCAATGCCTTCTTGCCTCAGTTGGTGTACGTCTACGTTTTTTGGGATATTCCGTACTTTCCAAAGTGTAATCGTGATCCATGATAACGTAAATGCACAACAGTGGCTCGCTGCATTCGGTATAACTAACACTTCCGCATTTCTCCACGTGTGTTTTGCCATAGTATTCATAAGCGGAAACCGAGGATAGCACGGATATTCCATCATTGATAGGAGACAATGACCAGGGACGAGTCATTATTTAAAACTGGAATTTCTCTGGATTTACAAATCCTTGGGAACTTGAGATAAACGCAAGTACACAACTGCATGAAATATATAACACTGTGCAAGTGGTTTTTGGATATTTTATTACAAAATCTTACATATTGTACCTTTAAGTCACAACTTCCTCATGCAGCTGAACTTGAAACTACTGTATAATTACGGTTCAATTACTAAGTGGAGTTGAAAGGTCAGACCAAACTGCACTAAGAAACCAAACCTGGAAAAGAGGACATTCTTGCATTTTAGTGATTGAATTAATCATTATTTGGTCTGATCTAAACACCAAAGAATACAAGACTAATATCCGGTATATACGTACTTCCTGAATCTCTCAGAAATCATTTGCACAATGCATTTCCCTTGTGTTAAAATAATGCTTCAGAAATGTTCCAAACCGGTGTGACTTTCTTTAGTGGAACAAAAAAGGAGATGTTAGATTGACAAATTCAGTCACCATTCACTTCATGTATATAGAGGGGGAAAAGGATTCAATTACTTGCAAGATGACTAAAGCTGTCAATTTTGCATAATATCCCCATTTGAGTAAGAAAAATGCAACAGGTTTTGAACAACAACGGGACAGAATTCTCAATATTGGGTGAACTATCCTCAAAAGTCTCAAGGTGAAAAACTGTTATCTCAAGCACATTCAAATAAGAATGTTTGTGAAACAAGCACAAGACCTTTCAGGTTAAGGTTAAAAGTAGTAAAGTGACTCAGAGTCCGCGTTCTCTGATCTCTCGGGCTGTATCGCAAAATGGGCGACAGGAAGGAACCAGTAACCTGAACTATGGCGCAATAGAGGAACAAGAGAATTATTATTCACTCGCCAACATCAAAGCAACGACCAAAACGAGAAACTGTACGGTACTTTAAATGAATGACCGCTCCAAGTGTAAAAGTCTGTAGAAGTTGGGGGAAAACCAGTCAGCAGCCTCCCATCCCCCAGCCTCGCGCTCTTTACCGGACCGCGCGCGCGAGTGGCCTCTGCGGTGGGATTCCACGAATTCCTCACGCCAGCTTCTGAGTTTTATCATATTACGATCCAACCATATACATCGGCCGGGGAAGAAAAAAAAATCACTTTCAAAGGTCGATTACAAAGTGCGTCATACTTCCTGCATAGCGCACACGAAATATTTCACAAGAAAACAAATACACGGAAGAGATTAGAAGATAAAACGACATTTGCAGTTATGTAAAGTTGGTTGATAATGTGACTAAAGTAACTTTTGTAGCCTCGATGTCTTAAAGGGATAGTTCATCCAAAACCTAAATCACCCTCAAGTTGTTTCAAGTCTAACAGGTTTGGCAGCTAAAGTCGCATCGTTTTGAACGTGAATGAAGGATGTCAGTCTTTACAAAATGTATTTTTGTGGTGCACGGAAGAGTGAAAGTCATACTGAATGACAGAACTGTTACATTTAAGTCAACTGGCCCTTTAAGAGGTTTCAACTACAGCCACACAACTACTAAAGACAGTTAAAGTGCAACTTCAAAAATAACTCGTTGTTTTGGTGGGAAAGACCACGTTTGACTTTTTATTATTAAAGCTGTAAAGTATTTATATTTTAAAGACTAGAATCGTACTTACCATTTTGACTTAGGCTTCGTGGGATCAAGTTTTTAAGAAAACGTTAAAGTAATTCGGTGCAAAATCGCCAAAAGTCGTTTTTGAGCTCCGTTGACTGCCGACGCGTAACGTGTCTCCGCCAACACAGCAATGAGGGACCAAAAGTGCGCGGTTCAGTCTTTATAACCGCGTGCGCTCTCACACCGCCCACTGCAGAGCGCGATTGGCCAGCGGCAGCATCAGCACTCTCCTCGCCATACGATTGGTGTAAGCAAACGCTCATCTTTAGATTTGAAAGTATTGCAACACTTCTAACCGTTCTCGAGAGCGAAAGTTTTGCCATGTCTCCGCCATTTCCTTTTCCTTCTTCACGAAAAGGGGAGGTTTCCTTGGAAAGGTCAAATTTCCTCTGTGCTTCGGGTATTTCTTTTGTTCGACAGCTTTTCTTCACAAAAGTTCTCGAACATTATATAAAGGGCAACAAAGAAACTATCGCCGCCAAACGATTTACAATCTTTGTTCAGTGAGTATAATGAGCAGAGAAAGTTAATCACCCAACTTTTATGGTTTGCTTAAAGTAAAAAAGGGCAGTGATACCATATATAAACGAATCATAGAAATTATTATTTTTAATCATTTTGAAATCAGTAGTTTTTTGGGTTTTATTGTTCACAACATTATTTGTTTGCTTTATTTACGCTACTTCCATGTTACCTTTCTTGAATGGTATGAGTTGCCCAGGTGCACTTGAAGACAGCATTAGATACATACCACCCCAAATTTCCTGTTTCAATAGAAAATAAGTCGTCAGCACAAAAAAATTTAAAACTATTTTGATGGGTCTTTAAATGCTGTATGAAATTGTATGAAAAAAAATCTTCTCACAGGTAAGCCGATGATGTGAAACCTCAATTGTGTTACATGATAAACAGACTTTACCTTTATTGTCTTTATCATGGAGTCACACTATTAAAACTGCATACCACATCAATGATATACTGCAGAACATCCACCATGCAAGTCATCCTTCATTCATATTAATGGGTCGGTTTCCAGTATTTTAACGACACAGTTTCACTGAGAGAGCACAGCTAAATTCACCCGTGCATTCAGATTCACACTACTAAACACACCTAAAACACCAGCACACTGGCTTCACAATTTCTTACTGATGGTTCTATACATGATGATGGAAAAATCTCTGGTGCTTCAGGCACATATATAAAGGGTCGAGTCAATGAGAGAAGCCCCAGCAACCAGAGATGATGATGACTTTGTCAAAACGGACGTCAAAGACAGGATTGACACAGATTACACAAAGCACCTCTGTTGTCACATCCTAAAGAATCTGGCAATGTCCACTTCTTCAGGAAGGATTCAGTCACTTGGGCAGTAAGGCATACACATACTTGTCTCTTCTCCGAGACATTTCAACACCAGTAGATTATTATATTGCACTTTAAAGGACCCAACTGAGTGAATCTCACAGAACCAAAGATCACAGAGTCTGTATGAAGAGGACAAAAACGGTGGTGAAACACACGTTGACTGTATCATAAAGTTAGTGTTTTATCCCTCATTAAGGGAAAACAAGGACTGAGATCAGATGGCAACAAAACTTAAATGCAATAAGAGGAAAGAGTCATAAAAAGGCTGGTAATGGGATCTGATGCTCTGCTGAGCAGTGGAGTGCAGATTCCAGTGTCCAGATATAAAAAGTGCCTCTATGTCAGAATTAAATCTCTTCTCATTTTTCTCTGAGCACACAAACTCCTGCGTCACAGCGTTGTGTTGCCATTGAAGTCACCACCTCCCAGCTGTCAATCACGGGGTCGTAACATTCAATGCTGCTGAGCAGTGAGTTCCCATCATATCTGCAGAAAGAACACAGGGGCAGTATCAGAGCAAAAGATTAAGTCATTCATTTATTTTCTGGTAGTAACCAAGACAAAGACCCAATAGAGAAGAGTCTACCATGCTATATTAACATCTTACCCTGCAATGGCATAAAGGCGGCCCCTTAGGACCGTGGCTCCTACGTAGCAGCGTGGTGTGGTCATATTGGCCACAGAGGTCCAATAGTCTGTGCGGATGTTGTACACCTCTACGGAAGACAGGTGGGCCGTGCCGTCAAACCCTCCGACAACATATATGTGATCATTCAACAAAGCCACACCAGCCCCTGTAGATGAAAGCGGTCACAGCAGTGGAGATCTGCAAATTATTGTTTGATCTCAAACTAATAATAAAAAAAAAGTTTATAAAGGGCAAAATTTTATTTATTGTCTCTTCCGTACATCATTTTACAATATTATTTTTACTGTGTTTTTGATCAAATAAATCCAGCCTTGGTGAGCATAAGAGACTTCTTTCAAAAACATAATTCTTACCGACCCCAAAAGTTTGAACGGTAGTGTAGACAACATGCGATATGTAGAAATGTTTCTATTCATTTAAATATTTCTTAGCACCTGTTATAGAATATGATAATGTGTTAAAGGGATAGTTCGCCAAAAAAATTTTAATTACCCCATGATTTACTCACCCTCAAGCCATCCTAGATGTATATGACTTTCTTCTAATAAAGGCCTTCTGAAGCGAAGCAATGCATTTGTGTAAAAATATATATATTTAAAAGTTTATAAACCATAATCTCTAGTTTCCGCTAGCTGTGGTACGCGCATTCATGAGAGAGTGGCGTTCCAGCAGATGACGTAGGCGTAGTGTAAGCTCTGATGAGAAGTGACGAATTTTCATTTTTGTGTGAACTATCCCTTTAACATGTTAAAAAGGCTCTCTTCTCATGTGAGAGTACCTGAGCGTTTGTTGGCCATGGGAGTGACGCTGGTCCAGTGTCCTGTGTGAGGGTCATACCGCTCTACAGAATTCAGGATGTTCAGACCATCATAACCACCTGAATCCACAACACAACACAATGTTTACACTGTCTGAAAAGCTACAGGTCTACATGTCATCTGAACCTGTCTGTACCAAGCCCTTCAGAGTTCCTGCTATTATGTATGCTAGTTATGAGCAACTGTATTTCTGGATTCTCAGCACAAGAAGACCAAAAGTAATCGCCACAGACTTCCAGTCATATTCATTTACCTTCTACAACAAGCAAAACATTACCTAAACAGTAAATGAGTCCACTGGCTACAACAAGTCCTGCTCCCTCCCTTGCAGTCTGCATATCTCCCAGCATGCTCCACTGGTCAATATTAGGGTCATAACGCTCCATGCTGGTGTGACGTCTACTTCCATCAAATCCACCCGCAACATAGATCATATCTGTGAAAGGGGGAAAAAAAAATCAGTCTAAGCAGGACTAGTTCTGAAAATACCAACATTTTGATTGACACAAAGCTGGTTTGCTCAACCGACTTGCAAAAGAGGAGTGCTTCAGACGATGTAGACTAAGAACATTGTTTGAAGAAAATCATCCTGCTGTACATCCACCAAACCTACTACTAGAACTCTACAAATGTGTGAAAACAAGCATCATGTCATCATTCTGAATAGATACCTCCGAGAGTTGTAGCTCCTGCAAGGCCTCGGCGTACATTCATTGTGGCGACAGAGTACCAGACTCCATCTTCATCTGCTGTGTAGTCTAAACACTCAACTGAACTCAAGCGTGATCGGCCATCGTACCCACCGATAACATAGACGCGATCATTCAGGGCAACGGTGGCAACATAACGTCGCTTCCTTGCAATGTTCTGGAACAAAATATTTTGAGACAAATAAAACTGCTGGTCAAATTATTGTCAAAATTCATACAGCATTACACTTTATCACATTAACATCTTAAAAAATATACTATAGACAGACATGCTGTTTGCTTCGGTGGCACTGTTGCTCACTGACATTGGGCAAATGTTTTTAATCAATGGACAACATATAACTTACAGGAAGAAAGCTCCACTCTCTGGATTTTGGATCATACTTCTCAACAACGTCAATGGGTGATTGTTGGCTGCCAAATCCTCCAATTACCAAGAGAACCTCTTTGGCACCTAAAACCCATTCCAATGTCAAAATGTAGTTATACAAGGCTTCACAAGAAGATCATGAACATGTTAAGACACACAAAACTAATTCAGCAAAAGAGTGAACTGACATAATGATTTATATATACACTGAGGATCAATTTGAGGCCTAAATACTGAAAACACACAGAGGCATCAGACCGAGTCTTGCTTGGGTTCGAGGACTCTGCATCTCGCTGCGTAACTCTGGCCGGAGGTGAAACTTCTTTGCTTCATCCACCAAATCTCGACAAGGCAGACTGCAGCGTATCAATGGCTAAAAAATAGATGCAACACTCAATACAATGTACAAATATCATGCAATAACGCACACAAAATAAACACAACACTCAATACAATGTACAAATATCATGCAATAACGCACACAAAATAAACACAACATTCAATACAATGTACAAATATCATGCAATAATGCACACATAATAAACACACTATACAATAGTAGTGCTGGTCCTGATGGATTGAAAGCTACATTTGTTAAATCTGCTGCCCATGTATTAATGTATCCTCTTGCTGATTTATTTAATTTGTCTCTGTCTACTTGTTCTGTTCCCACTATATGGAAATGTGCAAGAGTTACTCATTTTTTGTGATACTTATCTGATGTAAATAACTATCGTCCAATTTATATTATTTGTTCTATTACAAAGTTTTTTGAGAAACTTATTTTTAATCAATTATCATTGTATATTAACTCATTAAGTATTCTCTTTCTATTTCAGTCTGGTTTCAGACCTAACTTTTCTACTACAACTGCTCTTTTAAAATTCACAAATGATTCCACAGGTGCCTTTTTCATCGACATTTCAAAATCTTTTGATATGGTCAATCATCACCTTCTTGATAAACTGTATTCTCTTGGTTTAACTAAAAATGCTCTTCTTTTTGGTTTGGTTTAAGGTGTTTCTCAAGGTTCTACCCTGGGACCACTACTTTTTTCTATTTTTATTAACTTCTAATTTACCTAAAATATGCCTAAATTGTTCTGTACATCTTTATACCGATGACACTGTTATTTACATCACTAATTCTGATTTGTTTCAAATTCAGAATTCTTAATCCGATTTTAACTCAATATGCTTATACTGAATAAGAAGTCTTGTTGAATGATGTTTGGTACATGAGGTTGCTCTTTTCCTTTTGATTTGAATATTACTTTTGACGATGGCCTCTTGATAATGTTGGATCTTCTTTATGCACCAAGAGCTTGTAACACTCCAAAGAGAAAGGAAAAATTGAAATCGCATCATATGACCCCCCTTTAAATATCTTTAATCTTTAATTTAAAAAATGCCCCAGATTGATTATATTGTTAAAGGGGTCACATGATGCGATTTCAAGTTTTCCTTTCTCTCCACTGGATGCAACAAGTGCCTCGTTTGTAATGGGTTTTATTGGTGTTGTCTCATCGCGCTGGGACACGGCATCACAGTATGGTAAGGGGCATAACATTTCCGTCACACGCTTGAGGTATTCAGCCAATCACAACGCACTGGATAGCTGGCCAATCAGAGTACACCTCGCTTTTCAGAACGATGAGCTTTGTAAAAATCGACGCGTTTCAGAAAGGCGGGGCAACAATAATGTACATCATGTGGAAAATAATGTGTTTTTTTAACCTTAAACCGCATAAACACATTGCATTACACTAAATAAACAACAATGTTATTTTTAGCAACGTCATATGACCCCTTTAAATGAGATGTTACATATCAAGGGGCTATTCTTTTGAATAAATTCTATTCAAATACACTGGCGGGGACGTCGACACCATGAACATTAAACATCTTTGCTTCTAACTACAGCATCCTGTACATTCATGCAGTCAGCATGTACTTGATTAGCAGAATCTAACCTCTATATCAATGACATCAGTGATGTATCGTGGGGTGAGCAGCGGCATGCGCACATACTCCAGCAGATCGGGTAGGTATGGCTCTCTCTCTTTTCTGTTGTGCTTCACCCAGTTCAGAACTGCCTCGAATACAGGCTCCTCTGAGTCAACCTACACACATAACACAGATTTGTTCAGGCACAAACCCCTTTAGCAAAACTAACTTTATTTGTTGCTTTTAATTTTTAATGGTTTTAGATCTGTCTTCTCCAAGTAACCATAAATTTAAGTCCAAACACTGTAATTACACCTTTAGAATAAATGGACGGTGGTGAGAGACAGGAATGTAACAACACAAAAGGTAGATGTCTTTGTTTGAGAAAGTCCATGTGTATAAAACAAGACAAAAAATCAGGGTTACAAGTCTGCACTTGTGTTTTTTTTGCATTTTCTTCATTACTGAAAGTGGCTAAAAGTATCAAAAACACAAAAGAAATACCATTTCAAATTTGTGGCCAAATATGTAACATTTCCGTCACACGCTTGAGGTATTCAGCCAATCACAACGCACTGGATAGCTGGCCAATCAGCGTACACCTCGCTTTTCAGAACGATGAGCTTTGTAAAAATCGACCTCGCGTTTCAGAAAGGCGGGGCATAGAGGAGCAACAATAATGTACATCATGTGGAAAATAATGTGTTTTTTTAACCTTAAACCGCATAAACACATTTCATTACACCAAATACACAAAATAATGTTATTTTTAGCAACATCATATGACCCCTTTAATCACAATTTGTGTTATGTAACAAAAATATTTAGTTTTGAAACCATGTATAAATAAGTGACAGAAATTAATCCTTTCCATCATTTTGAATTCAGATGATTTTATTTGGGTTTTAAAATGTAATTATTTTGTTTTGTTTAGACTACTTCTGTATGTTTCTGACTTGAATGTTGTAATAACGAATGCCCAACAAAGGTACAAGTTTCCCAAGTGCACTTGAAAGCATGGATTGTTCAGACTGAAAGAGAGGAGAGAAGGTCAATGCAGACAAACTCACCTGGATCTCATCACACTTGATGAGTTTTTCCACCTCGCTCTGACTGAGCAGCATAAACTCCTCCTGTTGCACCACCTCAGCAAAATGTTTCTGTGAGAACAGTTCAGCTGCCTGCATCAAGTCCAGACAGTTGTGAGTTTCTGCAAAGTCTCTGATTCCCAGACAGTTTGATGGATCCAACTGACTGTTAAGGAAATCACAGCAAGCTCTCTTCACACCTGTGGAGAACAAACACAAACATCAGACTGGCTTATCTGCATTAAATACAGCAGAATTACATCTAAATCCACATCAGGTATACTAGCAAATCAAGAAAATGCATTAAGCAGATATGAAAACCAAAGTCAATGATTTATATTGCAGATATATTAACTGTGGCAGACAAACCTGCTTTGATTCAAGAACAGTCTTTTATTCCATTGGTAATTTAGTGTGCCCGGAAACGAGTCTTCGTTTTAATGCCGATCTCTGACTAGAACGGATTTGCCTGAGGGATTTGGCTAGTTATACAGCTCTTAATGGCAACTACCATTTCCTTCTGCTCAAAGCAACCCAGAAGCCTGATGCTGCCACCGTCATTCTTGACAGAAGGGAAGGTGTTACTTAGGTGCCAAGCTACTTTTTGTTTGTGCCAAACATAAATGTTTTACTTTCAGGATGAAGTACTTTCAAAAAAGCTTTCAGAATTTGTCACAGGGCTTTTGTCACGACCTTTGTCAGAAACGTCCTCTAGTTTGAGTTCAAAAGAGATTTTGTTGATGCCTGAAAAGATTCTCCCATTTCAGACAATGTACAATTGCTCTACTTGTCATGTTGCTCAATTTGGTAGAAGTGCCAGATCTTAAAAGTATCTGGGATGTGTTGTTTTCCATTTTAATTCCAAGGACACAATGGGTACGTTTACATGCACAATTTTTGGTTCAATTGGACTGAATTCATTCCGATTGATGAATCTGAATGTAGTGTTTATATGAACGCTAAAGAATAGTGATCGGGTTGATGTGCACGTTTATATGTCATAAGTTATTTATCACGCAGTAAAAATGCCCCTCCCCGTGCCCAAAACGGGTTGCCTGTGGATGAGTATCCAAAACAAGGACTGGTGGGAGGCGGTCCTGCTCCACTTCACAGTTGCCGAGTGAAAGGAGAGTTTTATAATGACAGGACATGCATTTATACAACACTTTATTCAAAAGGAAGAACCGCTCGTTCCGCGCGTCATACGTCATTACGCTATTTCTGCATCATTGCACATGTGCAGTCCTTTCAGTTTCGGGGTTCAATCCGATCGAGTGTTTACATGCACTCTCAATCGTATTAGAAAAGGAATAAACCACCCCCTTCAATCCGATCGAAATTTCATTCCGATCGAGCTCAATCGGATTGATTAAGGTGTTTACATGAAGGCTTTTCAGTCCAATTGAGCCGTCAATCCGATTACAAACGGATTATTTGGTTGCATGTAAACGTAGCCAATGTTCCTTAGAAGGCTAAAAGCTTCCAATCTCAAAGTTGGACAGTGGTTACATAATTATAATTATATTGTAAACATAATAGGAGACACAAAATTATTAAATTAAACTCTAATCCTGAGAAGTGGGTATGACTGGTTGCACACCAAAAGCAAGTGACTGAATGTGATTCGTGTTATTTTTATATTTAAATTTTTCAAAAATATATTTTTCCGATTTCTGTTTAAAACCATAGCTTTCAGTTTCTATATAAAAAAAAAAAACAGTCTTTTTTATCCCACACATCTACAGCGAGTTTTTAGCTAAATTGGATGTATTTGGAGAAGAATACTATACAACTGAAAAGATTTCATTAGGTTTTTTTTTTTTAGAAAATAAATTAACTATTCAGCAAGGACTTGTTAACTTGTTTAAAAAGTAAAGTAAATAATTTTACATTGTTACAAAAAATCTTTCATATAAATATTGTTCTTTGAATGTTCTATTCAACAAAGAATCTTGAAAAAAAGTATGATGTTCCCAGAAAAAAAAAGCAGTGCAACAATTTGAAAAAAACTTGACTGTCAAGTTCTAAATAAGATAAACTTAACTGCTGACTGTACATTAACTTAACCTGTGTCTGTTAATGTTTGCTAAAAAGACCATACTTTCTCATAACATATAAAAATTACATAAATACAAAACTAATATTAATAATAAAATCAAAATGTACAAACACCCCACCCCCAGGATAGTGTGCATACATAACAGCATTAAATTTGGAAAAAAAAAAATATATATATATTTTCCAAGTTATGCGTCTACCCGGCCAAGCTCTTTAGTTCAGTCCGGTAAGATGGCAAAAAAGGAATCCAGATACATCTGAAATAATCCACAGTCCCCCCATTAAGTGAAAAGGCTTTATCATGTGCATTATTCAGATGTGCTAATCTTGTTATTTACTTTCAATGTATATAAGAAAACCATAAAGTTGTACAAATAATCACAAGGGTTTGGTAATATTCAAATCCCATAACAAAGAATCAACAACATGAGCTGAGCTGGTCTGTGTGTTTGTACCTTTGAGCTGCAGGAGACAGGCAGCGGGCAGCAGCTCCTGAACGTTTTCTACTGTAACCAGCACCGTCTCTGTGTAAACAAAATCCAACAGGATCTCCATGGTGGACGCTGTGAGGCCCTGAATGTCCACAAAGGACTTCCCTTTTTCAGCAAGCTATAGAGCAACAAGAAAATGATGACACAAACATATTTAACATGACATTTTTGTAGGCCAAAACATGGAAGTAAGTTAACATTTTAGCACTTCCAGTTCTCATCTACTCACTAGTCTGCTTTTACAGTCTCACTGTGTTTATGATCATACTCTCGCAAACTATTCTAAATCAAACTTTCATTAAAAATGTTTCAGTCCCACTTTATATTAGGTGTCTTTAAATACTATGTACATAATAATAAAATAATGAACTGTAAGTTACAATTAATTGCAAAACACTTTTGAATGAATGAATGAATGATGCATTTATATAGCACTTTATTGTGTATTGTTGTACACCCAAAGCGCTTTACAATCATGTGGGGGGGTCTCTCCTCAACCACCACCAGTGTGCAGCATCCACTTGGATGATGCGACGGCAGCCACAGTACAATGGCGCCAGGGTGCTCACCACACACCAGCTACAGGTGGAGAGGAGAGAGAGTCATAGAGCCAATGAAGTGGATGGGGATTAATAGGAGGCCATGATAGACAAAGGCCAGAGGGGCAATTTGGCCAGGACACTGGGGTTACACCCCTACTCTTTACGAGAAGTGCCATGGGATTTTTAATGACCACAGAGAGTCAGGACCTCGGTTTAACGTCTTTTGCTGCTATTGAGACAGGATACGGGCAAGGTTAGGGGCAGGTTTGGTATAAGGGATAGAAGTATGGTCAACTGTAATTATAGATGTAACTACAGATGTTATTACAAGACGTAATAAAAACATGTATAAGTGGATAGTATCAAATAATTAATTGAAAAGTAAGTACATAGTAGTTAAAGACACTTAATATAAAGTGGATCCAATGTTTCTATAAAGACCAAAAGAGTTATGCGAGTGGTGTAGTTCATTTATAGCCTATGTTTAGCTTTATCTATTGCTGATTGCATTTAGGCTTTAAAATTTGTAAAAGTTTTGTTTAGTTGTGAGGATTTTCATGATGAACAAAACATGTAAAGGAATACACTAGGGCTGTCAAATTGTTTTTCGAATTTCGAATATTCGTCGAATTAAAAAAAAAAAATCCACATTGATTGCATTTGAATGCTTTTGTTAGCCTATCCAGTTGAACCCACTAGATGCGGCGCTGCTACGTTGTTCATTCATATATTGCGGAAAACGAGAGCATAAGTGTGGAGAAGATGATGTTTACGTCAAAACCGAAACCAAGCCGTTCACACAGAACGCATATTTATCACATTTTCTAGAGGGACATCTATCAGCGTCGCTGATGGAGAAAAACCGTTCTCCACTCGCACTCGCATCTCGCAGAGAGCGGCATGTTTAGAAAGCCATGTAAAATTAATGCAAGTTCAACTTTTAAAAAAACATGTCTAAAGACGTTATGGCGGGTTTTCTCCATCCCACTGCATCTCATGTTTTTAAATGAAGAAAGTAGCCTACTCTTTGTGATTGGTTTTCGGTCCTTTGTATTAAACTATACATACATGCATGGTGCTGTTTTTTTTCTAATTGTTTAAGCAACTTTATTAATTATATATGGTTTATAAACATTATTTTAAACATTATGCACTTTTTTTCAAAGATAGTCGTGTTATTTTATTACACTTTGAAGAAACGTGCATAATATTTTGCTCGTTGCGCCCTCTCGTGGCCTCAGGAGAGAAGCCAAAAGCTTTTTTCCCCCTAACTGAAATTATGCCTTTTAAATTCGAATATAATTCGAATTTTGATAATATTTAAGTAGAAAATTCAAATGTAGTTTTTCAGTCATTTTGACAGCCCTAGAATACACTACACAACTTTTGTCCAGATTTACAGTCTAGAGAAGTTGACGCCAGATGCCCAAAGTCGGAGTCACTCTGCAGATTTGAGTTGACAGACTTCACAGAAAATCGTGCAGTATATAACGGTTACAAACTCTGATTTTTTTTAGCTTCAGACTATGCGTCAATCCAATTGTAGGACATCAAACATTTTGAGCCATGTTTGATATTTTAAGAACACAGGAAAAGGAAGGAACAGGAAAAGTTATGAAATAGTAAAACAGTTTAATATCAAATGTATCCTTATATTGTTTTTATATTGTTTAAAATCTGTTCAGATTTTAAAAGTCATGTAGTGTACTCCAGCCTGAAGAATAATAAACTCACAGAGCTTATTTTTTTCTGCAATAATTTATTACAGGCCACTATTACCATTATATAATATATATTCCTATAACACTAATTTTCTTAAATTGTACCATAAGAGATGAGTGACAACATTTTCATCAATAAGTCTGCATGTAGCTTGACAACATGTGTTGTGTTCTCTCCAGTAACTCTGAATCGACTTCAACATGTCTGACAATAAAGAGACTGCCTGCACCTCCTACTGTAAAGGAGCAGAACTGCAACAAAGTTAGATTTTTTTTTTTTTACCTTTGTGCTAATTTTATTGATACAGAATAGAAAATAAGACAGGAAATGATGAGGAGAAGCAAGAAAAGCAAGATCATGAGCCATATTCAAACATAAATAACTGAATAATCACAGCTGCTCAACATGTTGAAGCTTGTCTGCTAACTGCCATGTCAAGAACCAGTGACAGTGACAATGATAGTGCAATTTGTTGACATTAATTTAGCTCATTATAGTTTTTTAATAATTGGTGAACAGACTGCTTCAGTTAAGACCACAGTGATTTGAGTAACATGTAAGAGATGAGTGTGCATGCATACAGAGGGTATTTGTTACCTCACTGGTGAACATGGCACAGAAATAATCACTGCAGGCCGCCAACACAATGCGGTGGGCCGGGAAATCTGTGCCCTCCACCCTCAGAGTGATGTCGCACAGCGTGTTGCTTTTTCTCAGGGCGTTCATGGCATTCAAGATGGATTTGGCATGCGAATTGGTCATGATGTCCTTGGGTGCCATGATGACAGGGGGTGGGGTGGAGTGACAAAACCTCAGGCACTGCAGGATGATGATTTCTGTAGGACACAACCAATCAGTGAGCAACACAGCTGATCCCGAATATTACACATAAGACATTCTTTCTTCAGTGGAACATAAAAGACGATATTTTGAGTTTGAGTTTTACGTTTCTGTTCCCTTTGACTTCCATTGTATTTTTTACCCATCTGATGAAAATCGATGGGAACTGAAACTGTTTGGTTACCAATATTCTTTAAAACATCTACTTTTATGTTCAACAGAAGAAAAAAAGTCATTCAGGTTTTTAACGACATGGAGGTAAGTAAATGATGGCAGAATTTTCATTTTCGTGTGGACTATTCCTTTAATATCAGACAATATTTGTCCATATCTGCATCTGTATTGTAGCTTAAAAGTTTGCAGCTGTACTGCTGTACATTATCATTTGATGAGAATGTTATTTTTAAAATGTATTAACCAAAAAGACCTTCCAAAGAAATCACAGAAAGAAGCTGAACCTTAATGACAACTGCAAAAACAGTAAAATTATAGTTTCTCAATTAAAAAGCTAAATTCCCATCCTTTTGGAAATATAAACTTTTTCAGTACCTTTTTAAACAGAGTGAATGTAGATACATAAACAATATTGTGCTTTAGAACAGGTCTACCTGTAGGCTGTGTTGGGCACTACACCTGTGTATTACTGTAGACGGGAAACAGGAATCACTTCTTCGTATTTCATATAATTTTATTAGTATAACTTAATCGAAACGTGTTGGTGTAAATCAGGTGAGAGTTTAAGCCTCAGAGGTGAGATGAGGCTACATGCTAAAGCTAACTAAAAACGTATGCTAACCCACACATAAACATCTCAGTCTGAACTCACAACGTACAGCCGATCCACAGCAGAACAGAAACGGACCAGGACTGGATGACAGCACACGGCGGTCTATCTGGACATCTGCTGGCACCCCTCACAGGGAGACCCTCGCAGGTGTGAACTGAATTAATTTTACTCCAGCAATGAAAAGAGCAGAGCTCACGTGTGCGCGCATCCTCTTCTTCTTCTTCTTCTTCTTCTTTCTTTTACTGGCAACCGCACTTAACAGTGCATTACTGCCATCATCAGGTAGCTTGGATCAGAAACATTTCCTCTATCTCTTA